TTGTTAAGGTTAGGGTTTTTATTTATTTATTATTTCTGATCTTAGTGCTTGTTGAGCTTGATGTTAGGGATTGTCAAGTTGAGCTTTGGCTTTTTGAAATATTAATTTTTGGTCTTTTTATTTTTTATTTATTTTTAAAGCTTGTACACCAAGGGTAGGGCCTCTAATAGTTTGTATTTACATCAGGTGTGTATGTTATATACTACGAAGCACGACACCTCTCTCAAGGTCACGTACGAGTGTCTAGCACGTATCTCGTTTCTTGCTTTAGAAAGATTGCAGCTAGCGCGCTAGCCTTTTTTTCCCTCAGGCTGCTAGTTTAGTTGTAGCACGCTAGCGCTTTACTAATACAATAGAAAGTAAAGGCTCTTCTCCTGTTCTACGAATCTACAACTCTCTTTATTGAGCGAGACTCCATGATCAAAACACTCCGACCTAGTGATTGATATATGTGGCGAACATTAATTTCAATGTGTACCAACAACTTTAGTTAGATTAAAAATCGGATAAGTTAGTTGGATTTTATATCTTTTTTACAAAAAAAGAAGAAGAAGAGAGTACTACTTACACACTACCTCAGGTGTGTATGTTATATACTACAAAGCACGTACACCTCTCCGGAGGTCACGTATGAATGTTTAACATGTGTCAGACACGGACATACACCAGACACAGTTCGGATACGCTAGCAAGAGTCGGACACGCAACGGACACGTTGCGGACACGCTGGGGATCCGCTAAGAGCACATTGATGACTTTTTTTTATTACTAAAATAGCATACCTAAAGTGGATAAATTTTATATTTGACATAAAATACATAAATATTTAAAAGTATGATGTATAATAAATATTTAAAATTATATGTTTTGCACGTGTCCCCAACATGTGTCTTACATTTTTTTTAAAATTTACGTGTCTGCATGTCCGTGTCTGTGTCGTGTCATGTGTCCGTGCTTCTTAGGTTATATATATAGTGGAGATAGGAATCTCGATAGAATACGTTTCGGGGTTAGGTAAAATGTGAACAAAGTTCAGCAAGAAGATCGAAGTGAGAAAGAATTCAGAGCTATAACCCCTGTTTTTCTAATTTCTTTTCATTGCAAATGCCATACAATTGCGACTATAATGTGCTTGATTTTCAAATTGTCTATGTGATCTTGTTTGTTATGCTGTTAATTTGTTGGGTATGGTTAGGGTTTTTATTTATTGTGATCGTAGTGCTTGTTGTGCTTGATGTTAGGGATGGTTAAGTTCAGCTTTGGCTTCTTGAAATATTAAATTTGGTTATTTATTTATTTATATTTTAAACTTGTACACCATAGGTAGTGCTTCTAATAGTCTATATTTGCTTCAGATTTTTGAAATTAGAGTTGGGTTTGTAGAACTTGATGTTTGAGTTAATTGACATTAAACTAGGTTTTTTCTTATTTTTTTTAAAAAAGAATTTCATGCTTTATTTTGAGGCTATTTTCCATCTGATACACTATGGGAATCCATTTAATTATTATTATTATTATTATTATTATTTTTTATTTTTTATTTTTTTTTTCTTCTAATGAGCAATGTATTTGTATTGATTTAGGGTTATTTGAAATTAAGTGTAAAATTTAGGGCAAATTATGTCGATAGTCCTCCATTTTGCCTCTTGTTTAGCCTTTAATTTTAAATTTTGTATCAATTTGGTTCAATTGATAATGTCTACTAGAGTTTTTGAAGAAAAATGATCACTGAGGGATGGCATGTGTTATGCTTTTATAAGAAAATTTGTAAACTTGTTCAATTGGATGAGTTAACCTCAATCAATTCAGTGATCATTTTTCTTCAAAAACAACCTCAATCAATTCAGTGATCATTTTTCTTCAAAAACTCTAATCGACATTATCAATTGAACCAAATTGATACAAAATTTAAAATTAAAGGTTAAAATCGAGCTAATTAAGATTATAACATTAAAATGCTAAAACCTAAAACGCTAAATCCCTTAGTAGAAATAACATTAAAACATGCATATCTTTCAGTAAATGAGTTATCCATGTTGAATCCATGTGAATTTTGTATTATGTTGGTTCGATAGTAACCAAACCTATTTATTTATTGTGTTATCGTGTTGTGTGAAAATCAAATTTATGTCAAAAAATGGTAAACCCTAACCACTAACTTCGTGTATGGTTCAGAAAATCCCATTCCAACTCTTAACTTGGGGCAACTTGAGCTTTAGTTTCTAGAAACAAAACTAGCAGTTTGGGAAATTCTATTTCCACACACCATTTACTCCTAGTGCACATCATTCTCTGTTCACACATTTAAAAAATTATAATTTTCTCACTCCACACACAAGCAGAGTCAATTATTCCAAGTATACCCCTTCATAATGAAAAAATCGAAAGTGTACACACACCCACTCAATCATAGAGTTACCCATTCGTAGGAGAGACTTTATCAGAAGAAGAAGGTGAACTAGGTTGGCTTCCATTACTCGCACCCCCTGTTTTTTTAATTTTTTTTCATTGCAAATACCATACAATAATTGCAATTATCATGCACTTTGTTTTCAAATTACTTCATACTTTTTATGGTATAATTTGTTTGTTAGGCTTCTAATTTTTGGCTTGTGGTTAGGGTTTTTATTTATTTATTGTGAGCTTAGTGCTTAAGCTGATGTTAGGGATTGTTAAGTTGAACTTAAAACTGGTTTGGGGTTGGCTTTTTTTGTGGCTTTTTATTTTTTATTTATTTATACATTTTTTAGGAGTTAAAGAAAGCTAATGTATTTGGGAAATTGCTAAAAAAGTTAGTTTTTTGGAGCGTAAAAATTGATGTAACAGATGACTTTTTTAGCTTTTGGCAAACCAGCTTATTGGCTTTTTTAGTCAAAAGTGGGAGTTCTTAGATTACACCAAATGATCCCTTGAAATGTAAAATTTGGGCTTTTGCTGATACTTTCTTCTAATACGTACACCATTTCTTGAGCCTCTAATCTAAGTAGTATGAACATTTCTAAAAGGGTGTCTTGTCCGTGTCATGTTCCTGTCATGTCCATGTTGTATATTGACACTCATCAGACATTTTCCAACACATGTCCGACACTAATCGGAAAGTGTCTTATTATTATTATTCATTGTGTTTGGTTTGAGTTTTCTGAATTAAGTTTTTTGAAAATTGAGTTTTTTAGTTTTCGTATTTTTTTTTGTTTTTAGTGAATATTTTTAAAATTTTAAACATTTTTTTACTTTTTTAGATGCACCTTACTTAGATGTATCTAAAAAGTAAAAAATTTGTGAAAAAATATTTTTAAAAATTAATAAATATATAAAAATACAAAAAATGTACTGAATTCTCGTATTTTTTTTTGTATTTTTGGTATTTAGTGAATTTTTAAAAAGTTTTTTTCAATTTTTTTTTTTTACTTTTTAGGTATATTTATGTTAGCTATGTCTAAAAATTTAAAAAATTGCTCAAAATATTAAAAAAATTCAGTAAAAACAAAAAAATACGAAAAATAAGAAAGTAGAATTTTCTGAAAAGTGTTTTTGAAAAGTGGTAACCAAGCATAGTGATTATTATTATTATTATTTTAAACTCAGACTCGGACAATTTGAGGACACACAAGTTTATTGATTAGACACAGACGAAACTAATTATAAGTTCGAACAAAATAATGTAGAATATAATGGTAAAAAAAAAGAGTCACTTTATAGAATTAGTGTTATATTACATTTATATATTGTCTTGGAATAATATATTCATATATGTGATATATAATAAGGAAAATGTTTGAGGGCCACAATTTTTGTGACCACAATGGCTCAAAACTGTCAAAACGACATCGTTTTGGGTGCAAAATATGCCAAAACGACGTCGTTTTAGCAGTTTTGAGCCATTGTGACCACAAAAATTGTGGCCCTCTAGCATTGTTGATATAATAAACATATAAAATTATATATTCTGTGTGTCCCACGCATTTCGTGTCTTGCATTTTTTTAAATTTTCTGTGTCAGTGTGTCCGTGCTTCTTAGCCTCTAATGGTTTATGCTCAGGGTTTTTATTTATTTATTGTGATCTTAGTGCTTAAGCTGATGTTAGGGATTGTTAAGTTGAACTTAAAATTGGTTTGGGGTTGGCTTTTTTTGTGGCTTTTTATTTTTTATTTATTTATAGATTTTTTAGGAGTTAAAGGAAGCTAATGTATTTGGGAAATTGCTAAAAAAGTTTTTTTTTAAGTCAAAAAATTGATGTAACATGATTTTTTTAGCTTTTGGCAAACCAGCTTATTGACTTTTTTTAGTCAAAAGCGGCATTTTTTAGATTATATCCCTTGAAATGTAAAATTTGGGCTTTTGTCGATACTTTCTTCTAACACGTACATCATTTCTAGAGCCTCTAATTGAAGAAGTATGAACATTTCAAAAAGGGTGGCATGTTTGTGTCTTGTCCGTGTGATGTTTCTATCACGTTCATGTTAGATATTGACACTCGTCAGACACTTCCCAACACATGTCTGACACTAATCGAAAAGTGTCTTATTTATTTATTTATTTATTTATTTATTTAAATTTAGACTTGGACACTCTTTAGACTCTTTGAGGGCACACGAATCTATTGATTAGACACATAAGAAACTAATTATAAGTTTGAACAAAATAACATAGAATATAATGATAAAGAAAAAAAAAACGTCAATTTATAGAATTAGTGTTATATTACATTTATTTATTGTCTTGGAATAATATATTCATATATGTGATATATAATTAATATATAAAATTACAAATTTTAAAAAATTTCTATGAACAGCGTTTTCTTAATTAAAATCGCGATTTAAAATAGCGATTTCACTATTCATCAACTTTTGGCCTCCTAACAGTAAAAGCGCGAATAGTAATGACGCTTTAGCTTAGTTTTGAAATTTCGTCAAAAATTGACCTAGTTTTAAAAATACAATATAAAAAAGGCTTATATTGGGAAAAGCCTCCTGCTTACACACCGTCTCAGTTGTGTACGTTATATATATATATATAGTGGAGATAGGTATCTCTAAACGTGAACAAAGTGAGGCAAGGAGATCGAAGGTGAGAAAGATTTCGGAGTTGTAACCCCTGTTTTTTAATTTCTTTTTCATTGCAAATGCCATACAATTGTGACTATGATGTGCTTGATTTTCAAATTGCCTCTAGTTTCTATGTGATTTTGTTTGTTAATTTGTGTGGTATGGTTGGGGTTTTTATTTATTTATCATTTTTTGTGATCGTAGTGCTTGTCGAGCTTGATATTAGGGATTGTTAAGTTGAGCTTTGGTTTTTGAAACATTAAATTTGGGTTTATTTATTTATTTATTTTTTGGGTTCACCATGGGTAGGGCCTCTAATAGTCTGTATTTACTTCAGATTTTTGAAATTAGAGTAGGGTTTGTAGAATTTGATGTTTGAGTTAATTGACATTAAACTAGTTTTTATTTTTATTTTATAGAATTTCATGGTTTATTTTGAGGCTATTTTCCATCTCATACACTAGGAATCCATTATTATGATTATTTTATGATGAACAATGGATTTGTATTGGTTTGAGGTTATTTGAAATTAAGCCCTAAAATATAGGGCAAATTATGTCGATAGTCCCACATTTTGCCTATTGTTTTATTTTGGTTCTTATAATTTCAATCAGTTCGATTTTAACCTTTAATTTTAGATTTTGTGTCAATTTGGTTCAATTGATAATGTCGACTAGATATAGTGATCTATCTGCCCATAATTTTTGTTTCATTCACTGTTATTAATTTCCTACCTTTGAAGTGCAAGGATCCACTAGAGTAGTTTACCTGCAGTAGTCCCTGAAGTAGTCCCTGAAGTACTCCAAAAACAACATTATTTCAAGTAAAAAAAAAAATCCAAAACAGAAGTGTAGAAGATGAAAGGCAGGAGAGACTAACACAGCGAGAATGGTGGAAAAAGTGCACCAGAGAGGCGACTGCTGGACGAGTGAAACAGTAAACAATTAAAAAAAAAATTCCCGAATCAAAAAATGTATTTGCTTCAAGGCTTCAAAGCATATTTGATACAAAACACATATTTGCTTCAAGGCTTCACCGCACACAAACACATATTTGCTTTCTATGTTAATTTGTTTGTTAGGATTCTAATTTTTGGTTTATGGTTAGGGTTTTTTGTTTGTTTATTGTGAATCTTGTGCTTAAGCTGATGTTAGGGATTGTTAAGTTGAACTTAGAACTGGTTTGGGGTTGGCTTATTTTGTGACTTTTTATTTTTTTTTATAGATATTTTAGGAGTTAAAAAAAAGCTAATGTATCTGGGAAATTGGTAAAAAAGTTAGTTTTTTCGAGTGAAAAAATTGATGTGACGTATGACTTTTTTAGCTTATTGCAAACCAGCTTATTGGCTTGTTTAGTCAAAAGTGAGATTTTTTAGATTACACCAAATGATCCCTTGAAATGTAAAATTTGGGTTTTTTTTGATACTTTCTTCTAACACGGACACCATTTCTAGAGCCTCTAATATAACAAGTACGAACATTTCTAAAAGGGTGGCATGCCCATGTCTTGTCCGTGCTATGTTCATGTCATGTCCATGTCGGATATTGACAATCGTTAGACACTTCCAAGCACATGTCCAGCAGTCATCGAAAAATGTCTTTTTTTATTTTTTAAATTTAGACTTGTACACTCTTCAGACATGTTGAAGACACAAGTCTATTGATTAGACGCATATGAAACTAATTATAAGTTTGAACAAAATAACATAAAATATAATGATAAAAGAAAAAAAAGGTCAATTTATAGAATTAGTGTTACATTTATGATTTATATATTGTCTTGGAATGATATATTCATATATGTGATATATAATAAATATATACAATTATATATTATGTGTTTGTCCCACACGTATCGCGTCTTGCATATTTTTAAAATTTGTGTCAGTGTGTCCGTGCTTCTTAGCCTCTAATGGTTCGTATTTACTTAAGTTTTTTGAAATTAGAGTAAGGTTTATAGAATCAACCAAGCTATCATTTTTCAAAACATAATATATATATAGAGTACTGCTTACATACCGCCTCGGGTGTGTACGTTATATATAATGGAGATAGGAATCTCTATAGAATAGAGTGAGCTAAATGTGAACAAAGTTTAGCGAGGAGATCGAAGGTCAGAAAGATTTTGGAGATATAACCCTTGTTTTTTAATTTCTTTTTCATTGCAAATGCCATACAATTGTGACTATAATGTGCTTGATTTTCAAATTGCCTCTAGTTTCTATATGATTTTGTTTAAGCTGTTAATTTGTTTGGTATGGTTAGGGTTTTTATTTATTTATTATTTATTATGATCGTAGTGCTTGTCGATCTTGATGTCAGGTATTGTTAAGTTGAGCTTTGGCTTTTTGAAATATTAAATTTGGGTTTTTTTTGGGTACACACCATGGTAGGGCCTCTAATAGTCTGTATTTACTTCAGATTTTTGAAATTAGATTAGGGTTTGTAGAATTTGATATTCGAGTTAATTGACATTAAACTAGGTTTTTGTTTTTTTATTTAAAGAATTTCATGGTTTATTTTGAGGCTATTTTCCATCTCATACACTGGGAATAAATTTATTATTATTATTATTTGATGAGCAATTGATTTGTATTGATTTAAGGCTATTTGAAATTAGGCCCTAAAATATAGGGCAAATTATGTCGATAGACCTATATTTTGCCTTTTGTTTTATTTTGGTTCCTATAATTTCAATTAGCTCAATTTTAACCTTTAATTTTAGATTTTGTGTCAATTTAGTTCAATTGATAATGTTGACTAGAGTTTTTGAAGAAAAATGATCACTGAACTGATTGAGGTTAAGTCATTCAATTGAACAAGTTTACAATTTTTCTTATAAAAGCAATACAAATGCCATCATGTGCACATGTTCCATAAAACAAAAATACTTATAATTGTAAACAATTGGATCAAATTAAGATAAAATCATTAGTTCAAGGTTAAAATCAAACTAATTGAAATTATACGATCCAAAATGACAAAATGACAGAACTATAGGGCTATTGGTATAATTTATGTAAAACACACACACACACACACACACATACACATATATTAAAAATATATGAAAATTATTTTTTCACTTTATCTCCTTTTACATTTTTTATTTTTATTTTCCCACATATTAGAGCATCGCCAAGGATGATACGAAATATTAGGTGACATGTGGTATCATCAAAATGGAAGGTGTTGAATGCTCCAACAAATGTCAAAATCCTACGTGGCATTAGTTTCATGGTGACTTATCTATGTCTGTGCTTGCTTCTTAGCAGGTATTCTAAAATGGCATTGAGACATTGAGATCAGCTATAAATGGCTGAAATAGGGGGCATGGCTTCAATGAGTCAACAATTATAGCTGTGAGAGCTAGGATTGTTCACTTGTTGGAACGAGCAGGGTTTGACCATAACCCATCAGCCGAACCAATCAAGTTGAGTTCATCATCTTTGCAACCATTGTCCACCATTTAGCGATCGAATCCCTCCATCAAAATCCCTCAGTTTCATGGTCAGTGTCGGCTAGTGTTGTCAAAACAAACAGAGAAGGAAAAAAAACCCAAATCTAGAAATCCCCAAATATGAGATGGAGAGGTATACCGTACACACACATATATGTTACAAATTGCAATTGGAAAGGGAAATTCTAGAGGGTGGAGGCCGGAGAGAAGAAGGGGATGTGGATGATCAGAGAGGAGAAGGGGGCCAGGGAGATAGAGAAGAGAAGGGCCTGTAGTAAACAAATATAGTCTAAATTGGAAAAAAACAAAATGGCGGTTGAAGCTGAGAAAGAGTCGTTGGACGAGATGGGACGGCAACAGTACAGTCGTTGAAGGAGATAGCAGTCGGAAAACATAGACTCTGTTCCAAGTTTAGAGAGAGAGAGAGAGAGAGTTCTCTCTATTGGTTAATAAGATAGAGAAAGTTCTCTCTAACAAGGTAGAAAAGCTAAGCCCACTTTTTGACTCCGAAATTCTATTATACTTTTTTTTTTTACATATTTTAAATTCTACTAGATAGGGTTACATAAGGGATTTAAATATGTCATGGCACTGTTAGTGGAAATAACATTAAAATGTGCAACTAATCTTTCAGTAAACGAGTTATCCGTGTCGAGTCCACATCAACTTTGTATTATGCGGGTTTAACTCTTGTTATCGTATCGTCTAAAAATCAAATTTATGTCAAAAAACGGTTAACCCTAACCACTAACTTCATGTATGGTTCGGAAATTGCCATTTCAACTCTTTAACTTGGGGCAACTCGAACTTTAATTTCTAGAAACAAAAATAGCAGTCTTGGTCTTGTAATTTATTTTGGTTATTGGCAATGAAATTGAACCAAGCTGCTAGATCTTGCTAGCCAAGCCTAATGACTAAATTTACCATCAATCAACAATGTGGAGAGGGATCCATTAAAGGTTTTGCAGCAAGTAACATCTCTTTGCGGGAGTTTCTCTCTTTTGCACATTGGAATAGAATTAAAGAAAATTACCTGCTTCCTCTAGAGCCAAATTTTCTCCTTGGGATAGTCCCAAGTAGGGATAATTTATTATTGAATGAACATGTAATGAAGGTCGAGGATGTACAACAAATTATCATTGGGACAGAGCTTGTGAAATGGGTTGTGGAAGAAATAGATGAACCAATGACTCTTCAGTCACCTTACAACGTGGGCATGCTGTCTCCTCTAGAGGCATTGTATCCTAGGCAAAAGTACTTCCTGGTGGGAATTTCCTATGTACTATAGTCTGAACTAAAACCCATATGCTGATATGGTTTTTTAGTTTCCTGAGCTTCAACCAACTAATCTTGCCAGAACTGGAATTCCACAAACTTTGAAGCCTTGATGGAAATGTCTATTAAGTGTAATTAATTTTAAAAATGGGGTTTACCTTTTTATCTATTCAGGTGCATTCTCAAAATTGAGACCAAAGGACAGAACTGATGATTTAGTTAGTTGTTCAGTTTTTTTTGTTTTCCCCTTTGGGAGATATATATATTTGATTTGTTTTCTTGTAGCCATAGCCTCCTCTCGGTTTGTGAGATATATCTATGTAATGTAGTTTTGGATTGTCTGTTGATGTGTTTTGTGGCCTATTTGGCTGCTTCCTATCGTGATGCCCTCGTGCCTGCATTTCAATCTTCTTTGGCATCTTCTTTTTTGGTAATAAAATGTTGCTTACCAAAGGACAATAAATTAAAATCATTGTCAATGATGAGCCCTTTTCAGACTAGGCATCATATCTTTCATATAGCTTACCAAAAAAATATTATTAGTTCCATCTTCCTTTTCAGTAGTCTCCCTTTTATTTATTCTATTACTGGAGCATTAATGCAGTAAAGCATGCCTTATTAAAGAAGATAAATTTTTGAAGCTAGACCAAACAATTGGGACTGAGCACACGTTTCTTTTCTTTGTCATTGTGGTTTGGCCGGTGTTGAATTGCAATGGAGTGTATCAATGGAAAGACTTGTACGTAGTCATATTTTATGATGTATGGTGAGCATTTTCAACATTCAGCATATGAGATGTGCACCCAAGATGGGCCGTCTTTTGTGATGACCGAAACCAATTCTGCTATATTTGTTCCATTTGCCCCAAATAATGTGAATATTATAGGGTTTTGTCATCGTTGATTTTCACTGTTTGCTAGCATACCTTTCTGGATTTATTTAATGTTTTTTTTCATAATTTATTTCTTTTTAATTTTTTGAGGGTGCAGTCATGTTGGTGCACTCTTGATTCATTGTTGGAACTTGGAAATCTCTTCGGTGGCTTATTCTTTTTTAATTCATTTCAATGTCTATTTTCTCCTAGTAATTTGTTTACTAATAGGTTTGTGCATCTTTGTTAGATGAATGCAGGAAAAGTTTCAAATGGGAGAGTCAGCTGCACAAGATCCTGTTCAAATAAAAAGAAGAAAAGCAGCATACCTTCTCTTCCCGATGAGATTATATTCTGCATTCTTGCTTGGCGTCCTGCTGAGATTCTTTACAATTCAATAAGGTATGTTTGTCGGCAGTGGTATAACATAATCAATGACCCAATTTTCATAAAGGAACAGCTCCTTCGTTGCACCACTGGCCTGTTCATACAGCAGAAGCGTACTCCATATAGGGCCCAATTTGTGGATTTTGGGAAAATGAATGTCGCACTGACTGAGGTAAATGTACCATTTCCAAACACTGTTTTGGCTACTTGTGATGGTCTAGTACTGTTCAGGGATAAGCAAGATACACTTCATGTTGCAAATCCTCTCACAAAGCAAAGCTTAATTGTTCCGCCATTTGATTGCCACCCTTCATATGGCTTACCTTATTTCTCATTAGTATATGCTCGTTCAACGATGGAATGTAAAGTGCTGTGCATCGATAAACCCTATGGGTGTGATGTCTATAAATGCATGATGATTACTCCGGGCAAAGATCATGCATGGAAATTGATCAATACTAACACATTTTCTGATCCTACTTGCCGTATATTTCATCATCCTCCTGTTTTTGTTGAAGGACTTCTTTATTGGGGAAGCCGTTGCTTTCGTTGCGTTGTTGCTTGGGACATAGAATCTGAAATGTTCTATGAGTTTCCTAAGCCAGCAGTTCAGAGTAAACCTTGTATTTTTCATTTTGTACCAATGGCAAAATCCCTTTCTTGCCTGGTTTGGTCGATTCTTCAAGCATTATTTGATGTTTTTGTCTTGTCTGATCCCATGAGTGGTGAGTGGAGGAAGCTCTACAAAATTGAATTGGATGTTCAAAAATATAGATTGAATGGCATATTGAACAAACCGGTCTCTTGGCCTGGCCAGAACTATTTTGTACCATTTGCTTGGGCGGACAATGGTGAAGTGTTCTTGTGTCTCAGTGAAACACCAGGTCATTATGTTGCTCACTATGTCAAGACTGGGGAGACCTTAATAGTTGGAAGTTATGATGAGGATGGCTGGCCTAGATTCCGAAGTAATTTTGCCTACAGCCTTGTCCTGTTGCCATCAAGTCTTAGCAGTTTATCAACCGGTATTTGATCAATTCTGTTCTATCTATTGGTCTGTTTTAATGTTTCTTATGTTTATGAACTCAATTGCGTTTTGTTGTACTTTTGAGGTTAGTGCACTTGTTGATTGTACATTTTACTATTTGTGGGTTTGAACTGATCTTTGTAATTGCCATAGTTGCCTAGTGTGGGTACTTGTATCAAGTCCAATACGTGGCAAGCCCTACGGTGCCACATCATCAAAGCTCCGCCTGCGGGGCAGACCAATAAGGCGCCACATGAGCATATCACATGTTTGATACATGGTGAGTCCTACGGGCGCCATGTCACCAACACTCGCTTTCTTGGTAGGCCGCCAAGGCAGAATGCAAAACCAAGACTATGTTCTTAACTTAAGCGGGAGTATACACACAAGCCCAAATATAAAGACCTACAACAGGTAGCACTATGGCCTTGCATATCCATGGTCCTTCATACTTCGCTTTAAGACCAAACGACAATATAATCAACCCTCGGCTTATTTGGACTTGGATTGATAGTTGGAGCCCTTGCTCTCCTAAATATTGAGATAGGCCTTGGCCTATTCTCCTATTTGGTCGTTTGGAAGTGAGTCCGTAGTTCTTCTAAACCTTGAGATGGGCCCTGGCCTATTTACCTACTTGGTTGCCTGGGTTGGGGACAGGACTCAGGCACTACCGCTCGGGACCATCAGAGAATCTTGGACTGGCAGCTGAGGTCATAGGATTGTTGAGATAGTTATCTTCTTGGTAAGACAACTCCATCTCGACAAAGCTTGGAGAAGAGGCAACAATGACATTACACTCACGCCACTTGATGCATATATGATACGTTGCTCTTCATTTGTTATGAAACATTGCTCTCTCGCCTGCTATCAAACCACAGACGACAGTAGGGCTTATATCACTTCTGGCAGAGTTGGGAAGAACGAAACACTTCATTTCACCACAACACAACTCCATCACTCTAACACACTAAGTCTCACACTTAGACACTCCATCTCACACTCTACACTAGTGTTCAAGGTCCATCTCTGCCAACCTCTCCCTTTCCAAGCTTGCCTTACATTTCTCCTCTCCACCTCATGTGATTTCAGGTTATTGAAGTGTCCCCCATTTTCCCAAACTATCTCTAACCATACCTCTCACCCAAACCTAGTCAGTATTTTAATGCTTTGCTTTCTATCAAATGAGACGCAAATCTTCTTGGTGCTATTGCCTGACTTAGCTGTGTGGATATGATGATCCTTAATAGGGAGATTTAGTCAAAACTTTCTCATAATAAAATTTTAATGTATTAAGGACAATCACAAAAAAATTTTCTTGAAAAGTTCAACAAATGTCACTACTATCAAAATATTAAACTTTAAAATAATATAACTTTTGATGTAGATGTTGGTTTTTAATAAAATTAATCACTGTGTTTGGTTTGAGTTTTCTGGATTAAGTTTTTTTAAAACTGATTTTTTTGGTTTTTGTGTTTTTTTGTTTTTAGTGAATATTTTTTAAATTTTAAACATTTTTTTTTACTTTTTTAGATGCACCTTACTTAGATGTATCTAAAAATTAAAAAATTTGTGAAAAAATATTTTAAAAAATTAATAAATACATAAAAATACAAAAAATGTACTGAATTTTTATATTTTTTTTGTATTTTTGGTATTTAGTGAATTTTTAAAAGATTTTTTTTTACATTTTTTTTACTTTTTAGGTGTATTTATGTTAGCTGTGTCTAAAAAGTAAAAAAATTGCTTAAAATATTAAAAAAATTCAGTAAAAACAAAAAAACACGGAAAATAAGAGAGTAGAATTTTCTGGAAAGTGTTTTTGAAAACCCTAAACCAAGCAAGGTGAATATTTTTAGAATTCTCTCATCAAGATCTATCAAATAAGATTAATGTTGACTATGAATTTTTTTAAAAAAAAATTATTACCGTTGAAATTGATGTAAACATTAATAGTAACATGTTACTCTGTTTGACAATTATTCTATTTGACAGTAACATGTTATATTGATTCACAGTAATATGTTACTTTGGCCATCATGTTTAACGGGAAAAAAAAAAGATATTTTACTTTGTCTTTATTCAATTATGTGTTTTTTTCCTTAGGGAGTTTATGAAGAAAATAAATTGGGGTGTCATTTTCACTAAATAAGGGTCCAATGGAGAGATTTTGACTAAATTTCCCTCCTTAATACTGCTCACACTGGCCTTGATCACAAAACTATTCTTAAACAATCTGTAGAAGTTCTGGAAGGTTTATTTTTGTTATTTATTTATCTATTTTATTTGTGTGGGTTTATTTATTTATTTTATACATTCAATTAATTTTTTTACTGAAATATATTCCAACTTATTATTCATTAAAAAAGGCTATTTTCAAAATAAATAAAATGAGAATGCGACAACTAATAGAAAGACATTCTTAAAAATAAAATTGTGTTTAAAATTTTTCTCCAATTCATGTTCCAAAAAAGACGTGGCGTTTTCATGCCACATGGTTTAATGACTTTGCGAGTAACTGAAGAATCCTCAGTCGTATTCACTATTCAACAAAAGCAAAAAATATGTGAATAAAAAAAAAATAAAAAAAAAAGATAAAATACATTAAGGCACTCTGTTCATAAATTCAAAATTTGATATTGTTTGACTAAAAGTTCAGGTGCTGGAATACTTTATCCATAAGGATATGGTGATGAAAAATGTCCAAATTACCCTTACATATAAATCATATATGGCTAAAATCTTTCATTTCTCACTCACTCTCCCTGTCTTTCTCTACAATTGCTATCAAAGGACGATATTACGACCTCCTGGACTCTGTCTTTGTTGTCCGAAGCCGCTGTGGTGGAAGACTTGAGGGTCTACTTCTTTCTGCTGAACACTCGGAAAATCTTGGTCTTGACACATTACGAAGACAATAAGGGTTGCTTATTCTTGGATTTAGAATCGAACTCAGAGGGTGACGAACCGTTGTGATGGAGCTTTTCGGTGATCTTCTCCATTAATGACTCACCTTTGGAATCCGTAAAAGGAGCAAGACGATTACTGAGGAAGAAAGAGAGGACGAGACGACTACCGCCGCCGCCGCCGCCGCTGCTGACGGCGAAGAAACCTCATAGATCTCTAGAAAATCTTGGTTATGTGTATATATATATATATATATATATATATACGTCTGTAGATTTGTAGATATATATGTATCTATAAGCATATATATATATGTATCTATATATATATATCTATATCTCTACAAATCTGTAGATCATCTCTCCAGATTTGTTACACAAATCTACAGATCTGTTAAAAATACTTTTTTGTTGCTGCTGTTGGTGGTGGTGGCCAGTTATTGAAATTTGTTTTTTTTTTTTCGTTGTTTTTGTTGTTGATGATGATCTGAGATCTTTTTTTTCTTTTCTTTTCTTTTCTTTTCTTTTGTGGTGTTGTTAATGATGATGGTGATGAAAGAGTGCAATAGATAGGGGGAGAGAGAGAGAGAGAGAGAGAGAGAGAGAATAGAGATTTGAACAGATAAAATTTGGTTTGTTTTGGTATTTTAACAGATACAAAAAAATAAAAATAAAAATGAATAGAGATTTTTTTCAATAGATAGGGAATTTTTAACAGATAAAATTTTGACTTGGTTAGGTTATACTACTGAATTTGTTCATTCAAAAAATTGAATAGATAAAAATAGATTTCAACAAATAAGAAAAATTAGCACAAGAATTTCAACAGATATGAAAAATTAGCAAAAGAATTTCAATAGATAGGAAAAATTAGAGAGAGAAACCTACATAATTTGAATAGATAGAGAGAGAGAGAGAGAGAAACTCACAAAATTTGAACAGATATGGTAAAAAATTGAACAGATAAGGGAGCAAATTGAACAGATAATAAAAAAAATTGAACATATAGATATAAATTTGAACAGATAGATTTAAATTAAACAAATAGTCAATGAAAGTTAACAGATAAATTACGGGATAAAATTGAAAATAAAATGTTCTTCAAAACAAATAAAAGAATTTTTCATCAAATTATTTCACAAATGGTGGATGTCTCACTAACAAAAAAATCTATTAGACTTAATGCCTTATATATCACCAATTTACTCAACAAATGATTCACATTACATAATAATCATTATAAAAATATAATTTTGCGAGAATATAATAAATGTAAAAGTCAAGTAAATAGTAAAACAATTCTACATATACTTTTATATGGAGAAAAATGTTTTACAAATCTGATGAATATCATTGAAATGAGACTCAGAAGTCCATCGGAACAAAAAAATAGTATGTTGTGGAACACCTTACATATAAAAAAAAATTAATAAAAATATCGACCTGCTCAATTCTTTTTTATTCGCAGTTCCGTTAACAATTCTTAATTTTTTTAGAACTAGAATCAAATCATAATTATTTTTAATTTTTTTTTTAAGAATTGAAACTAAATCGTTTTTAAAAAATTAGAGACAAATCATATAATTTGAATCGGGTTTCATATTTAAAAAAATAGAAATTTTTTGTTCATCCATAAAATTCATACAATTTTTTTTTTGGAAAAATTACCAAAAAGCCCTCTCTGAATTTGAGTCTTATAACAAATTAAATCTTAAGTTTTTAATTCTGTCACTTTAAACTTTAATATTTACTTATTTTCGCTAGGAAAAATGATATTTTAGTCATTATATTTAATGTAAGTATATGAAAAATGTCTAAAATATCATTTTTCATTAAGTTTAATGTTAATTTTATTTAAAATAGATAGATGATTTAAATTTTAAAATATATCAAAAGATTAAGATTTAAATTGACAAAATTTAAAACTCAAAGTTTATTTTATTATAAGATTCAAATCCTGAATTTTTTGAAATTGTAATTTTTAAAAAAAATTAACAAAAATAATATGGCAATATGATTCTTGTAAATAAATTTATTTTTAATATTTTATTTTAAAGTAAAAAATTCATATTAATATTTTGTATGAAAATTTTCTATATATATTTTTTTATTTAATTGGGGCTGATTATTTATAATGGATTCTGGATGCAAGATTGATAATGGATTTGTATTTGTTTAGTGTAATTTATTGTTAGTTAAAAGTTAATGATCAGAAAATAGAACTCAAAAGCACTACTACCT